TTCTATAACCGAGTATGATTCTAGCATATTTGAAGAAATTATGTTTTATTCACTAAGAATTCACCATGTTAAGGAAGTAAAAGAGGAGCCACTGAATAGAGAAGCTCAAAAATACTATAATATCATGTAAAGGCCATCAATGTGGGAAGATTATAGAGTCTATTCTCAGTTTTGTGTGTCTTTTCGAATATTGAGCATCAAAACAAAATATAACATATCACATGGCATAATTAATAAAGGAGACAAATCTAAAAAAATAGTGCCAAAGAACTTATATATTAAAACTCTGGTGTCAAAGATAGTGTTGACATTAGAGAAGATAGATTGTTGTGTCAATAATTGCATATTATATTACAAGGTTAATGTGATGGAGGTTAAATTTAGGGTTTATGATTTAAATCTCAAAATAAAAAATAGAAAATTGAAGGATGTTCAATACAAGCATCTTTTCTACATGCTACTCATTCCACTTCTTCAAATTATAGTTCGCCTTTTTGGGCATTGTTTCAAACATGAGATGACACCTGGAAAAAATAAGGGAACATAAGTTCTTTAAGATAGATAATCATAGAAGCATTTTTATTGTTCTTATCATAATCTTACAACTGAGCCACGTAATATTAGGTTTGTTTTTTATTTTCACGTCATATAGTAATGTCATCTTGCCCTACTTATATTGGTTTATGATAGTTATTCCATACAAATTTTCACCAAGATGTGCATGACTACAACTTTTATGTTTCTCATATTGATTATACCAAGTCCACATAGCCAAAAATAATAATAGATATTTGTAGTATTTGATAGAAGAGCTAGAAATTTAATAGCAAATATGTGTCATGATCACTCGTATGGATAGTAAGAAATTTTTTTGTATATGAAATGCTATAAGGATAGAGTGCTATGAGAAAATTAGTTTGCACCTACTGCATGGATCTCCCAAAGATATTTATCATACAACATGGTAGAAAGAATTCATGATTTGATTATTATTAGATATTCATCCTTGTTGGTAGCACATTCAGAAGAAATAAAAATATACGCATAGAAAATAGAGTTGAGAAATCATGACCACCATCAAGGTTAATTTGGGATGAGTTGTGTCAGATTACTGGTGTAATTCTAAATATTACCGATTTTTTGGAGTTATCTTCACATCCATTGCTTAAATTTAGTGTTAATTATAACTAGAAAAAACCAGATTACTAGTGTAATTATAAATATTACTGATTTTCTCAACTTTTCTTCACATCCTTTGCTTAAATTTAGTGTTAATTATAACTAGAAAAAAATAGTTGTTTTCATAGATTTGAGCTACCTGACGAAGAATATGATTAGACATAATCTTGAGGCAGTGTACGTAGAGAAATTTTTTTGGATAATATTTTCAAAACTATTATGAATGTTAAGGGTAAAACCAATGATAACATGAATGTCAAGTAAGACTTGAAGGAGTGTTATAAGAGAATAGAGTTAGTGTTAAAAGAGACATTTGTTAGTAAACTTAGAAAGCATAAAGCCAAGTATTACCTTACTTTTGATTGATGAAGAATAATTAGCGAGTAGATGTGATCTTTAATGTTCGTGAGCAAGTATGGCTAAAATTTGAGCCATTGTGTTGATCTGGGAGTTAAAAAAAAATATTTGGCATGAAAAGTAATGTTTTGAAGTTCATTATAATGTATGTTAGTAATTACATTTAACACTTTCTATAATCAGATAAAAAAATAATTTAATTGAAATAAGTATGTCCTTTAATGATTTTTGTCATATCGTTTAAAAATTGATGCTCTAATATAACTTGAAGTAAATATTCCACTGATACTATGCAAGCTCCAAGATTATTTTCATCAAAACTTTTTTATTTGATGAAGTAAACATTCAAGGAAATGCCCTTTTTTTAATAAAATATATTATTTAGAAGTGGCTGATTAACTCTATATCCCAAATATAATATTCACATGATTGTAAAAATTTTCATTCTACAATCAGTTGAGCTCGTTGAATTTAAATGACCAGAGCATTAAGAGTAAGAAGGTTAAAAAAAAGTATCTAACATGGTTTAAATTATGTGCAAGTTCAGTTAATTTCACATAATATTGTTACATATATTGAACTAAATAACCGCACGTGCTAGTTGATGTAATCAATGAGTTCATGATCGTAACAATGGAGTTACCAATCAAGAATTGCAAGATCTTGTTTGGAATTCTTTGCAAATCATGAGTACATGATCAATTTTCGATATGAATGACTGCATATTTCCCACAAGCTCCTGCTCAGAAGAATGGCATATAAATAACTTTGGTATTTGTGTCAAACTAAACAGTAATTGAGATGATAATATACACTGTTATGAAATTTTCCATGACATGACTACCAACCATGTGGGCCATTGATGAAGAAAAACCAAAAACAAAAAAAACCAAATCCAACAAGTACTAGTTTGAGGCACAAGTGCTCCAACACCATAAAAAAGCCAAACACATATTGAAGGGCACAAAAATAAAACAAATATACTTCTGGCTTTCAATACTCCGAGAACACTAAATACAGCATCAAAACAAGGTGCAGCCATGTTTCAATCAAAAAGGCATACAATAACTAAAATAATTACATTCCAAAGTCTAAAGTCATTGCAAGCAATCAATTACTATACTTCCACTAAAGCCAGTCATAATTGCATTCTTAGACTACCTCTCTATTCTATCCGAATAGATTGAAAGCAATTAATTTATTAATATCTTCACTTTAAGTCAGATTCAGTGCTCCCACTCATGCCCTCATACTTCCCTTCACAATTCCTTGGCACAAATCCAAATTCAATATATGAAACTATACTTTCTTGATAGAGAAGTTGTATGATAAATTCCATCAAAAGAAAAAAAAAACGTAGCTTATTTCACTTCTTCCTTTCAATGCCTATGTATATATATCTATATATATATTCACACTTCTCCCTTTCAATGCCTATGTATATATATCTATATATATATTCATATATATCAGTCTGAATACATGCATGCATCACGTCCTTCATCTCTTCCTGCCTTCATTCATCGTCTAACTTCTCTTGTTCTTGCTTCCTGCCAACAACGCAAAGTAGAAGAATATCCTGAACAAGAAACCCCACGCCACAGTAACCCAAAAGCACCCCCATTTGCTCAAATCCGTCACCCCTTGCTCCTTCAATATATCCGTCCCCGTCGTAATACACGTCCGGCTCGTCAATCCCACCCCAAGCGAATCACTCATCGCCTTCAGAACATTCACCTTCACCAACGTCGGCAGAGCCCCCAGCGGCGTGTTGTCGAACATCTGCACACCCCTAACAAAACACTTCCTCGGATTATCAAACTCGTTCTGCAGCACCCCCTCGTACGGATACTTCACCAGCGAGAGATAATGAAACCAAATCCAGTACGCGGGAATTCTGTCCCTCGTTATGAAGAAGCCGCTGAAGAGAAGAAAGTAGGCGAGGATGGCGACGACGATGGTGTAGCCAAGCATGACGTGGGAGACAATGCCGGAGAGGAAGGTGACGAAGCCGCTGCCCGCCCAGAAGGAGGCGAGGACGATGAGGAAGAAGAAGATGAAGCCTTCAGTGCCACCGGCGAGCCCCACGGCGAAAAATGTGGTGGCGGCGAAGGCAGCGGAGAGGAGGACAAGGGATGGGAAGCTGACGATGGCGTTGGAGAGCACGTAGGAGGAGCGGCGGTAGGCGTTGTAGGCCGTCTCGCGCATAAAGATGTAGCGTTCTTGAAGGAAGACGGGGAGCGCGTCCGCGCATGTGTAGAACATTGTGGACATGGCTATGGCGAAGAAACCCATTCGTTCCTGCAAGCATGTAATGGACAGTTATGAATAGATATATTTTTTAATTTACGTATAATTTTGCAAATTATTTTTAATAAAAAAAAATGAAATTTTAAATATTAGATATAGAAATGCATAATAATTGCATTTAATTTTTTTCTAACAGTAAATATTAGAATTTAAACTCTAAAAACACTTGTAATGGATGTCAGTAAATATTTAAAATTTTTATTTAAAAAAATATACATTTTTTATCAAATTAGCGCATAGATTAATTTCATAAAATATTTATTTAAATATAAATTTATCTTTCATTTGGAAGTTTTATCATGTATTTTTATTTTCATTTACTGTGTATTTTTCAAATTATACAGGTTTTAGAGATATAAATTAATATCACAGAAATTCTAATAAAATAAAGAAAGAAATACTCATATTTTTGGTCTATTGAAAATCTCCACTTAATTAGTTTGGCCCTTGTATTTAATAGAAATAAAATTTAAAAAAGATTTTAAAAATCAGCCTAATTAAACTCCAAACTAAATAAATAAATTAATTAAAGGAAATTTACATACCAAGCACTGAAATCTTATGCATTTACATATCTTATTCCCAAAATTTTATATTTACACGCCTAGAAGTTGTAATTGGCTTTTAAAAAATGTTAATAATGTTAATTTGGGGGTGATATCAAATATTTAAGTTATATATATACACACGTAAATATTAAAATTTCAGGGGTGAGATATGCAAATACATAAGAATTGTAAATCACCTTGGCTTATTTGGGCTTATTAAATAATCTGCTGATAAGCTAGGTACGGTAAATATTATAAATTTTTATTTTTTTGAAAAAATCAGATCATTATTAATAAACTCTCATCGCACTTGAAAAAACACCTAAATAAACAGAACAGATGTGTTTTTAAAACTTGACCGCACCAAACTAAACAATGCAACTGCCGTACCTGCACGCCCTTTGGCGAATTATCAAGCTTCCAGAAAATCGTGGCAAGACTGATAAGCTAGGTGTTTGGTAAATATTATAAATTTTTATTTTTTTAGAAAAATCAGATCATTGTCAATAAATTCTCACCTCACTTGAAAAAACACCTAAATATGTGTGATGCTAAACATTATTTTCTGCGTTTTGAAAACGCATAAACTGTCAAGACGCAGTTTAACCAAACAGAACATATGTGTTTTCAAAACTTGAGCGCACCAAATAAGCTGCCTAAAGGACCCTAAACAATGCAACTGCCGTACCTGCACGCCCTTGGGCGAATTATCAAGCTTCCAGAAAATCGTGGCAAGAATAAACCCGGTGACGAGAACAGCCCCAAGGCGGATGCCGAACAGCTCCGGCGTGCGGCGAGAGTTAGTGGCGGGTTTGGCGCCGCCGGGGGTGGATTCGAGCTCGCGAATGACGTCGAGGGCGTACTCGGTTCGGTTCTCGTTTTCGGGGATGGGTTTGCCGAATTCGGCGAAGTAGTGGGGGAGGGTGTTGGGGGTGCCGCTGAAGACGGTTTGGCCGCGGGAGAGGAAGAGGAGGCGGTCCAGGAGGCCGAGGATTCTGCGACAGGCGGGAGATTTTGTTAGACGTAATTAATGAAATAGCTATAATAAAACACAGAGCAGCATGGATGACAGATAATGCTTGTGTATTTACATATTTAACGTCTAACTAAGCTGTTAAACATCTGCTTTGGAGCCGTGCGGATTAAAAAAATCAGAAATTTACATTGGCAACTCTCCATTCTTATGCATTTAACTCAAACCTAAGCTTTGATTTTTACAATCTATACATCTTTAGTTTCTTGCTTATGTATCAGATGGTGGATTTCAGAAATTTACCCTCTATGCATAGAAAATTGTGCTAAAAAATTAAAATTTGGGGGCGAGATAAGTAAATGCATAAAAATTGGGTCCTATGTAGGTAAATTCTCAAGCTAAAATTTTTGCTTCCATTTCTTTAAACTAAAACTTGAATCAATTTTCAAGCATTTTAAGAACTTCGAGCTAAATTTGTTAATTTACAGCCCTAATTTCTGTCTAAAGCTGTTAAAGATCCTGTTTGAGCCTAGTTGGAGTCCCCTTGAAAAAAATTGATCCAAAATTTTGACTCATAGCTTGCATGCACACCTCTTAAAATTCTGGTATTTCAATAAAAATATCATAATTAGTATTTTGCTATATTTATAAAACGAAAATATTATAAATATAAATAATATTAAATTTAGGAAATAATTGCAATTAATATTAAATAAGATAAATATTAAAAAAATATCATATTTTTAGCATAAATTATTAATTGAACATCATCGCGCATGACAAATATATCAAAAATGAGAAACTTAACGGCTTCAATATAATTAGAACTGATGCTGACGCTTGGTTTTACGTGGAAAACAATGTTTATACATATTTTCAGTAAATATGCCACGAAGCTACGTATTCCTACGTCAGAAATATATTAAAATAAAATTTATAAGAAAATTAAAGAAAAAAACTATTTTATTTAGAATCATTTACATACATACCACCAATTCCTATTTATTTACATATAGTGGTATGTATGTAAATCTTTGTTTTAGGATATCACCAATTAACTTACCTGTACGAAGGCTGGTGAATGGACATGATAACAATGCTCCCGCTCTCCGCAATCCGCTTCAGCACCTGCACCACCATGTAGGCGCTGGTCGAGTCCAGCCCCGAGGTCGGCTCGTCGAGGAACAGAATAATGGGATCGTGTATAATGTCCGTGCCGATCGAAACCCTCCGCCGCTCGCCACCGGAAACGCCTCTGTGTCCCTCATCGCCGATGATGGTCTTCGCAGCCCGCCGGAGACCAAGCTGATCGATCAGCGTCTGGACTCGGCTCTTCTTCTTGGATTTCGAGAGCGTTCGCGGGAGGCGAAACTCGGCGGCGAACATTAGGGTTTCCTGGACGGTGAGCATGGGGTAGAGAAGATCGTCCTGCATCACGTAGGCGGAGATGACTTTAAGGAGCTTGGAGTCGAGCGGCTCGCCGTTGAGAGAGATGGATCCTCTTAAGCTCTCTTTGGAGATGCGGTTGGCTAGTGCATCGATGAGCGTCGATTTGCCGGACCCGCTTGCGCCCAGGACGGCTAAGATCTCCCCTTCTTTCGCCTCCCCTGAAATTATTAGATGGTTTGAAAGTTTGGATTAGGACTTTTTTCTTTTAGTGGATTGAACAAAACTATAGAAGAAGATGAGCTCATTAATATTCAAAAGTGTTGACTATGATGTGAATCGTATCATACCGTGCGTTAGACTACGATGTGAATCGTATCATGCTGTGCGTTCGATTATGTGATACGATCCACACCATCATACACAAGATGATTTTAATCTTTCATTAATTTGGCTTCAAATTTATGATATGATATGAATAAATTTTGAAGTATATATTAATTTTATTTTGAATATATTTATCTAAATTTTGTAGTGCATAAGGGCAAATACTAAATAGCATGCAATTAAATACATTAGAAGTTATAAATATTTGGCATATTGAAACTATAATTGTAAAATGGATAAACTAAATAATGTTTATTAGGTTTTAAAATGGGGAGGGGGGGGGTTTATGCAAATCCTATAATTCCTATATACAAATCTTTTATATTTATATATCTTTTACAAAAAACATCATTTTTCTTTTCAAATTTTTTTCATGCAAAATTTTTTATGTGATTATGACTGTAAAATGGTATAAATATAAATACTAATTAAAATTTAGATCTTTAATAAAATACATAAAAACTGTATGATACATATGCATGCATATATATATTTAATGAGAGATTGATATTGTCTATGGTTATGTTTTATCATAATAGAAAAAAAAAAGGTTTTGTTTCTTATAAATTAAATTGAGTTATGTTTTATCATAATAGAAAAAAAAAGGTTTTGTTTCTTATAAATTAAATTGATGTTAAAATCTTAAGCGATTATAGCACAAATCATTCTTTCTAAGCCAACAATATATATTTTCTTATATAATTGAGCACATAAACTGTATGTATGTAGAGCCATTGACCTACATATAAACTAAGGAATGATAGGAAATAAATTCACATGCTGGAAAATTAATCTGAATCAAATCTAAATCAGTACATAACCATCACCAGGATTTAGACCACTCCTACCTGAAATGTTATCCAGCAGCATCCTCGTGTTCGAAAACTCCCCATTCCCCCGCCGCAAAAAAGACAGCTTTTTTGACACCTTAACGCTGTAACTAAGATCGCTGAATGCAAGAACAAAGGGAATACTCCGACCAGGCTCGGGGCTGAGCTCGCCGAACTCCGGCACCTGGTGGTCGCTGATGTCACCGACCCGCTTCAGAAGTTGCCCCAGAGTTTGCGATCCCCTTCCGGCGGTGTAGTGGTTGAAAAGAAGTTCATTTTGGCTTAACTCACTCGATTCCTCCATTGTACTCATCCTCCGCTCGAAGAACGGGAGCCTGTCAGCCAACCCCAACATCGTTTGTACCCTTTTACTAATCTGCTAGCTTTCTTTCTTCTTATAGTGAAAAGAAAGAGTATATATATTTTATATTTTATGTACTTGATGATAGTATAATTCCTTCCAAATTTATATCAACCAGGAATGGTGGTGAGCTACGCTTCCTAACATGTGTTTCAGTTTCGGTCCAAGTGTGAGAAGATTCGGGGATTAGGTGAGGGTGTTTATCTAAATCCTACCGTCCCTTTTTCTCTCTAGAGTGGGGGGGGGGCATGAGAGTTTTAGTTTGGTCTATGGTTATGTAAGGGTCGAAGACTGAGAAGATTAAGTATTTCAGGGAGTTATTTGCTGGTCGGGTGGGAAAAAAAGTTGCGTTTTTTATTGGGAATGGCTGCGGGTAATACGATAGCTTGGTTAAATTTGCAATTTTTTAGAAAAATTGACTTGATAAAAATGATGTGGTGTGGGGATTAGAATATTTGGGGCGGTAAAATGTTAAAATATTTGTATTAATGATGGATGAATTATTAGGTGCCGACTTCAGATGTGTGGACATAAAAGCGCATGAAATACGTACAGGCTGGGTGCTGTAGCTGTGCATTTTATACGATTGGAAGTCGTCGTACATTTATCAGAAGTAATAAGTTGTCTGCTAATTTCATTAGGAGACTAGATATTTTATATTAAATTTATGTTAAGAAAGATGAATGTAGAACTAAAAAGATTTGGTGATGTGGGATAATAAAATATCTTAAATTATTAGAATACATTTATCAGAAGTAATAAGTTGTCTGCAAATCTCATTAGGAGAGTAGATATTTTATATTAAATTTATATTAAGAAAGATGAATGTAGAACTAAAAAGATTTGGCGATGTGGGATAATAAAATATCTTAAATTATTAGAATTAAATGAAGATATGGCACTTAACAGAATAGAATTAAGTGGAGAAAAAGAATTCATGTAGCTTACCCTACTTAGTGGAATAAAATCTTCTTGTTGATATAAATTTTTGCACATGCATATAAATGAGTGAGCTAAAACATAACTATTATAACCGGCACGGCAGAATTAGTTATTTTTAATGACAAGAAAATTTTAATTTGTAAATATGCTTTAATAGCATATTAATAGGACATAAAAAGAAGAATTTTTAAGTGTCAGATCCTAGGGCTCATGTTGTCCGAAAACTTTAATGAATAAATGAATTAGGGTTTGTTTGGTGCGGTGTGGTTTCAAGGTGAAAACTCTCTCATTGGGAAGTGGTGCAACAGTTTCTTTGAGTAAGCAGATATAAATGTGGGCCACAGGAGCAGTCCACGTTTCTTATTTCTTTTTTCCCCTCCCTGCCCACCACGTCTCTACCCTAGCTCCTTCACATCTTTGCCCTAGCTCCTTCGCTTCTCTCCCTCCCTCACTTCTCTACCTCTCTCGAGATGTGGTACTCTCATCTTCGCTCCCTCTCATGCGTCTCTGCCCTTAAGCCATCTCCTCTCTCTTGTTTGTGTTGTAAGAAGTGCTCTTCCCTTCCTTTTGGTATCCTTTGTCATTTATTTTTGTAATTTTGTGGTTGATTTGCAATGTGTAGAGTTCTATGTGTGTTTTGTGGCTTTGCTCTACATGTGAAGTTGATATTTGATTATCATGAGGATGAGATTTTGGATTTTGGTATCCTCTAGCAATTTTTTTTACTATTTGTGCTCTTTGCTCTGCTTGGTCTGTGGTTTTAAGGTCTTAGGTGGCCATTTTTCTCTCTTTATGGTGGTATCTAGAATTTGATTTTTGTGGCATTTGAGGATTTTGAAGGTTGGGACTGTTTTTTTGGTTTACGACCACTTTATATAATCCCATTTTTTTGTTTTGGTTGGTTTGGGTGGTTTGCCTTCTTTCTCGACTGCACGATTTTGATGCAAAAACCAAAAATATGAATTTTTTTGCTTTGGGAAATTGATAGAGTAAAGGCATTGAATTGAACTCGGGGTTATGAACAATTGTTCAATGGTGTTTTGTGGAGGTTTTTTTAAGAAATTGGGCAACATTTCACTAGTTGGAATAGGTAGGTTGGAGGTATTTGAAGGCCATGGGAGGCCTTAGAATTCTGTGGAGGTGTTCTGAATGTGTTAGAATGTTTCATGGCGTGTAAATGATATGACATCCATAGTGTTTTGTAAGTATGTTGGTGTGTTAGTGTGGTGGTGGAATGTAGGCGTTATGTGTGGTGTCAATGTTGTGTAGGCGTTATGTACATGGGAGTGACGTTGGTGTGGTGGTTGTGTGCTATGTGTAGTGGTGTGTAGGTGATATGTGTGGTGTTGTGGTGGTGGTATTATGTGTACATGTGAGTGATGTGTAGGTTCTATGTGTGGTGGTCATGTATTGGTGTGGTGGTGGTGTGTAGGTGTCATATATATGGGAGTGGTGTTGGTGGTGAGTTGATGGTGTGGTAATTGGGTTCTATTTGTGGTGGTGTGCGTACATGGGAGAGGTGTGTAGGTGTTATGACATTTGTGGTGCAGTGTAGGTGTTTTGGTGCGACGGTAGTGTGTTAGTGTGGTGGTGGTGTGTAGGTTCTATGTGTTGTTTTGGTGTTGTGTAGGTGTTATATATGTGGTGTGTTGATGGTGTGGTGGTGTGTAGGTGATATGTGTGGTGATGTGTTAGGGTGGTGAAAGAGGTTTGTGTACATGGGAGTGATGTGTAGGTGCAATGTGTGGTGGTGTATTGTTGTGGTGGTGGTGTGTAGGTGTTTTGTATATGGGAGAGGTGTTGGTGGTGAGTTGATGGTGAGGCAGTTAGGTGTTGTCTGTGGTGGTGTGGTGGAGGTGGTGTGTGTACATGGGAGTGGTGTGTATTTGTTATGTGTGGTGGTTTGTTGGTGTGATGGGGGTGTAGGTTCTATGTTTAGTGTTGGTGTTGTGTATGTGCTATGTATATGAGCGTGGTATTGGTGGTGTGTTGATTGCTGACGTTTCTTTTCTGTAACATATTTTGAAATTTAAAATTTTAAATAACACTTTATATTTTCATGAGATAACCGGATATTATGTGCCACACATTTATATTGCTTAATTATTTTCATTCTAATAGTCGTCATAGTAAAGAGAAAAGAAATATGTTTGTAAACCATGTAGGAAAAATAGGTGAAGTTGATCTTTTTTTATCTCTATCTTAAAGTGGTGAAATAGGTAAACAAACCAACCACATACTTTAATAAAGAAGGATAGCTAAATAAAATTAAAAAGTTCAGGAAAAAGCACATGAAGAAAATATGATAGAATGTTATCAAGAAAATAAGTGGGATCAGTTGAAAGTCGACTGAAAAATATGAAAAAAGTTAAAGTGGGAATCCACGAGCTTGGGTTGGGACCCGGTAGAGCAAATCATTAACGTGTCAGAGGAATGATGGGTCAAGAGATTGGAGGTAAAAAAATTATGAATTGTCTAATCCTTCACATATTTTTAAAATTACATCAGCATGTCATTCATTAATTAATTTATATTTCGTGCGAAATACCAAAAAAATTAAATTCAGCTGTGTTAATTAATCTGAATTAAAAAAAAAGTTAGATCATATGTTTGGTGGATTCGTCGCCACGTGTGAAATTGCATGGTCCCCAAGTAAGAGAGGGTTTTCTGACATATCTGAGCATTTAGAAGTCATGCAAACTGTCGACTACAATAAAGGCTCCAGCCCTAACCTTAATGAAATTCAATCAACTAGTCGACCCAAGTATCCTAAGTTGAGAAAAAAAAATGGCGCAGTTTTCTATAGAAATTAAATTTCATAGTTAGTTGCTTCATGCATCAATGACCCCTAGTACATTACAAGTAACTTATATTCAGTAAGTCATACAAATTATGAAAGCAACTCTAGAAATTTATGAGGATATGTCGTTTTACTTGTTCTCTATGAAGTTGCTTGAAGGTTTGATCCAGAGAGAGTTCTTTATGTAGATGACCCCATACCATAGGGTCAATTACTTACGTTTTTTCCATGACAATCAGGATTCTTGATTTTTTGTTTGTTTGTTGGACACTTTATGTTTGATCTTTATGGGGACATAATTTGTGCTACTTTCACTATGTTTAAGTTTTATTTTTTAGATGCTTAAGTTTCATTATTTATAATGCATGTTCAAGCTCGTTTAGTGTTATTTAGACGTGTTAGTTGCATGAACAGTGAATATTATGGATTGAGAAAGAGGTACAAGAATAGATGTACTGCATTATGCTTAATGTATGAGTATTAAAACTTATTTATTGCTTGTTCGCCTTGCTTGAAATGCACATACATAGATGATAAGTAGGTATGGGAGTTTCTTGGGGGTCACCCGATAAGAGCACTCATATCATCAATTTTTTTTTCTCTGTTGCTGCTCTATAACCCTCATATCATAAAAAATCTTTTTTTTTTTTTTGTGACTCTATGAAGAAATCATAATTCAATATCTTAAAAGATGGGATAAGCATGAAATATGAAAAATACACTAAACTTATCGAAGGAGCTAAGGATTCAATCTAACATGAAGTAGAAAGAAACTAAAATGAGAAGGACAAAGGTTTACAATTCACATATGAAAGAGGAGAGCTTCAAGCTTGACAATAAGGAGTTGAAGAAGATAGACCTTGCAACGTGCAATAAATCTGTTAAAAACACTTGAGAAGATTTAGATAGTATCCTACAACATCAAAGAATGATTGGGGCTCAAATCATCAAATCATCTTTGGACTTGATTCAAGACACGACATGTGTCAGCTTACCAATACAACAAGATAGCTCAACTAAACTCTTTGCCCAAACAGCTTAGTCAAGTGACCCCTCTAAATATTTTTCTCAAGATGACCGAGAAATGTTGGTTGACCAACATAGCTTAGTTGACTCACCCAAGAGATTAACTTGGCTAAGCATATATGAAGAATTCAATGATGGACCCCCCTAGTTGACTGAGAGATTCTTATCAGATCACCTTAGGGTCAAATAGACCAGAAGGCTTTGTTAATGAAGTTAAAATGCTAGGAAAAGAGCTCTTATGCAGGCACCTGTTATTAAGAGGAGAAGTTGCAGGAGAAAGAATTTTTTTTCTAACACC